AAGGGTCGATATAGGTATGTGGGGAAATAGTATGGATTGGAAACTTGCATTTCTTGCGCACTAAAAGTACATAAGGGCAATCTACGGATTACAACCTGATGACACTGGCAACATTTGATTTGAAATTTGTAACTTTGTGCAATGATATAGACAATTATTTAAAATAAAAACCTTTGAGGTACAGTCTATTCGTTCACGTAGCACAAGCTAGTACTTAAGGATATACCTAAATCACAAAAATGTGGCAAAAGCAGTCTTACTATGTGTCCGTAGCTAAAAATAATAATAAGGGCAGTTTATTTTGCTTTATGTCAGTCCGACGTAATATGGTATAATTGGATGGGGGCTGCTTTTAAAACTAACCGGATTAACGTTGAGAGAGATCATCGAGCAATCATAAAATTGATTACTTTTATAAATTTTATATATCTAACTTCAGATCTATGTAAAGAATACTTCTTGTTTTTTTTTTTATATATATGAGGGAGCAAACAAGCACGCGGCTCATCTGATGGTAAGTGACTACCGCCACTCATGAACAACTGTAACACCAGGGGAATTGCAAAAGCGTTGCCGGCCTTTTAAAAAAGAGTTTCTCGTGCTTACTGTAAATCAATTGTATATTAAAACCATAGTCTTAAAACAACACACCAAACCTTTAGAATATCTAATAAAAGAAGGTCTGTTGTTGTATATAAAATTCCTCTCTGTAGAACAAGTTTTGCGCAGATTTTTTTTTTCGTATTTAGTACCTAATCTATATCCAAATGCAACAAATTCGCTTGTATAAATATATAGATAAATATTAAGCTTAACTTTCCATTGACGTTCGTCAAGTTGGGGGTTGATATTTTTATACAGAAAGGTTACATTATTATAAGCACACATGCAAAGTTTTAACATTCGCGGACGCTTACTTTTTGAGAAAAAAATTATTGAAAACCAATTATTTTTGCAATATTTATGCCAATCCCCATTGAGGTCCGTTAATTTTATTTTAGCAAAAAGTACAGTCTCAGTATATGTATATACAGAATGGGGTCCCACATATATGCAATAAATGAAACCACAAGTAATACTAGTCCATAGAAGTGTAGAAAAATTAAATATTAAATTAAAACCGGTAAAATAAAATGTGAAATTTTCAAACAAAATAAATATTAAAATAAATTCAGTAAAAGTACACTCTGTTTAGACAACGTACCTTGACCCCTTGCAAGAGTGACAACGTTGCACGCGGGTGGCATGGCGGTTGGCGGCAGGAAGCGTTATTGTCGGCACGGCCTATGGTTCGTTGGACAATGTGCGACGAATTAAAAACTTACTCACTAAACTGTTTAGGTACTTTACCGCCACTTTTTTATTTCGCGAAAATAGAACTGAACGAAATAAATATTATTGCATATTAGTAGCAAAATTTAATGAAACCCTAAATTTTAAAATGTCTGCAGGATCCAGAGCCAGGGCTTTTAATTTGTTAAAGGCGGCAACAATACGATTGCGCAGTTCATCTTCGGTTTCGGAGATCTTTGAGTACACTTCATTTTTAATAAAGCCCCATAAAAAGAAGTCTAGAGGAGTGAGGTCGGGCGACCGAGCTGGCCACCTGCGAGGGCCATAGCGCCCTATCCATTGTTCGCCGAACCGAGGAGCTCCATCTAACTGGAACCATACCCTCTGGTAAGCTGCCACAGACAATCCTTCTAAATATTCTGTTATTGGGCCGTTAAGAATATTAAGAAACTTCTAATACTTTCCGTCAATAAAAATAGGGCCGATTATTTGATCTCCGTGAATGCCTGCCCAAACATTAATGGAAAATCGGTATTGATGAGCTGATTCCCTAAATAAATGGGGATTCGTATGGCTCCAGTAACGCATGGATTGTCGGTTCCATATGCCGTTTCGAGTAAACGTGCTTTCATTTATCCGAAACAGATTTGTTAGGAAACGTTGGTCTTGAGACATTTTTTCCAGTACCCAGTGAGAGTAAGACTCTCTAATCGGCTTATCACGGGGCAGCAGCGCCTGCAACTTAACATATTTATAAGGACGTAGTTTGTTCCTTTTCAGCACTCGGTGTATTGTTTTATGCCTCTACTGTTTTATCACTCTAAACACACGCCCAGCTTGTCTAAGGCTGCAGGTTGGATTCCGATCGAAATGGTCTAAGACTCGTTGTTCGAACAAGGGTGGAAAGTGATGCGGAGCAACTTCTTTAAGAGTGTTGGACACTATGCGCTGATTTTCCCTGATTCTTTGGACAGCACCTAGGATTGCCCGGACACTAGTAGGGCAGACGCGAGTTGCGCCGTATCTCTCACTATATGTACGCAGAGTTAACGCTGAATTTTGGCGGCATTCGCCATACAACAAAACCATGGCATGTTGTCTTGACATTTTCCGCCGCCAAAACGTATACACAAAAGTCAAGTAGTGTCAATATCACAGTGAAAAAATAATAAAATAAACGTACTTAAAACACTATTTACACACACAAAGTCAATTAACTAATAAGTGTCTATTTCACCGTAAAAGAATTGTTTGACTTATTGTATTTATCTTACGATAATATGATAATTATCCTACGATAAATAATTAGGATGCGCGTAAGCAGCGAAACGCACCTGTATTCTGGAAAAATTGCGCGTGAACTGGAAGCCAAACTTCCAAATTCTAAAATGGCGAAAATAATAAAAGTAATAAATAGGGCGGCCACAAGGTGCTATTATCGTTTATCGATACTTTTCTTTTTACACTTACTTACCTACTACATTTAAATACAAGTAATTTTGATTTTTGATTTGATAACAATCGACAAGTTATCGATTGTTAAAAAAATGTTTATTTTTGTTCAATTGAACTTACGAAACTACCGATTTGTGACTTCCTGGGAAACGGGAAAGTATGTATGACTTTTTTAATTGGTTGTTTTTATGGGTTTTTTATCATGTTAAAATAATGTATTATCTCTAAATCTACAACAACACACTTAAACAAAAAAGCTTTAAAGTTTAGCTTTGAATACTTAGGTCGTAGTGTTTTTAGAATTATCATAACAACACGATAATTCTAAAAAAAAACCATACCCTAAGTGTTTAAAGCTAAACGTTTTTTTTTTGTTTATCGATTATTACTACCTTTGAAAGAAGCTAATCGTCGATAACAGGTGTCCTACTCTACGACACAGGCGCATGTTTACGGACGCCGCCAAAAGACACCGCTGTCGATACGTCGCAATAGTTTGCACTGCGTGGCAACGTCGCTTTTTAATGTTCAAGGATTCAAGTTCATTGAATCATTGACTCAGTGACTCAATTCTATAGAGTTCAAATTTGCTTAAAATTAAAACTCTACTTTTTGACCTAATTACTGGACCGATTACGTTCATTTTTTGTATATCGTCAGCAAAGGCGATAACAAGTATGTGGTTTCATTTATTGCATATATGTGGGACCCCATTCTGTATATATTAGATAAATATTAACTAATTGTTTACTGTAATCATAACATTTTGAAAACTGAAAACTTTATTTATTCATGTGACTATTTTGGTTATACTATGTACAAACAGGTAGTTAATTACTGCATCTGTTACAATGAAGCAAAATCAGTGTTAGATTGTTGAAAACAACGTTAGCTGTTTATAAAACAAAGAACTAGTCCTTTCAGCCGCTCGCAGTCGACTAGAGATTACGGAGAATTGAACGTAACTTAGTACGCAATGAATTAGGGCCGCAGAACACGTTTAGTAGTGTACATAGAAAATTTGTGCACATGCTAAAATCACATCACTGACCTTATTGTATTCCAAGTCCCAACATTTAACTTGTCTGTCCTCCCCACAACTAAACAAGTAAGGATGTCTTGGTGATACTTCTAAGCCTGAAAAAATAAAAAGTAAAAGTTAGATATTTAAATCCAGTTGAAGCAATGAATTTTTTTTGGTTTTTCCAATAAAAATGTCTTTCTTATATGGATACCATATAAGAATGACATTTTATCCCATAGTTGCTAGGTGGGAACTTCCCACCTAGCAACTATGGGATAAAATGTCATTCCCACTGGGAAGCACTGAAAACGTCATAAATATAATATAATTAATTAAATTTTATATATAATTTGTATTCCAAATTGTTCAAACGCAAGCAACTGACATAGATAATAATGATTATATAATATGAATTTGTGTCTATTATATTACACAATTTGTAAGTGGAAATTATTTTATTCTTATTAGTTCTTCGAAGTCGGCTTTTAAATTTTATTAAGTTTCATTTTTAAAGATTAATTTCACAAAAATTATTTCTCCTTCAACATTTTCAAACTTTATCGCATTCCATTAATTATTATAGATACATAATATTAATTTGATATAATATATAAAGTAAACTGGCTACTAATGATTAATATTTCCAGTGCACATTGAAAGTAAGTCTGTGTAACATAGTGGAAGTATTGAAATAGGGTAATATTAAACATATACAAGTCACGGCACGTAAGTTAAGCGCTGAGCAAAACGTGGAGGGGATAGTTGCGCATGGGTACTGTCGCGCACAAATTGAATTGCACGAATGCGACTGGAGAGCCAATCAGCGCGTGCAAACGATATTAGCATGGCATTGGATTTGGCATCCACGACTTTTTCTGCCACCAGGACGGCGCCATTTCAACATGAGGTTTAATATTTGACAGATTTCATAGCGGGGAAGTTAATTGGTTCGAAAAATGCAAAGGTTAAAGTTTATTAATATAAAATGTACTATTAGTTATATTTTATATTAATTAGATTAAAAATAAATAAACCAAACCACAGATATACATAAAAGTCGAAAAATAAAAAAAGAGTAAAAATGTACAAAAAATTAAAAAGCTAACCACTGAGGCATTGTTTTGTGTATAATACTCTAGAAACCGATAAGTTTTATTTACAACTAACCTATAAATTAAATGACATTGTATAACTAAAAACTTCACCTCAGTGACAACTAGTGACATCTGGTGAGCGAAAGATTAACTAGCCCGCATTGCATTAAGACATTTAAAAAAGATTTTTACTTAAGTTTAAGAAGTACCAAAATAGTAATATTTCTGTTTATTACAACATTACCTCTGACTGTGCTGACATGTCCAGTGAGTGATACTTTTAATTTTCCAGTTGCTAGGTCCCAAATTTTAATAACTCTGTCAGCCGCACCTGAGACATTTTAATGAATTACCATTTGTTTTCAATACAGCTACAAAAATATTGTATAATTTTATAGAAATGATAAACAAATGGGGTAACAGATTCCCTATGTCATCACCCTAAACTTGCCGTATGTCGGTGTGGGAAGTAAAAGGTCGTAAAAGGCGACCATGGAAAATGATAGAGAATTCTTATGGCTTCCAATAGCATATATATATAACATATAATATGGCAGCATTGTCTAAGTTGCAAGGCTTCTGGCACTGTGATCGTCAATCTCTTTGCCAAGAGTGATAATTTAAGCACATCCTTTCTACAATGCAAGAGGGTCATGTCAAGTAAGTATTATACGTGGTAGAGCCATGCTGCAGCTATATTAGTAGTATAGTTGTAGCATGAATGGGTCGGCTCGACCGGGGAAGGACCGCACTCTCACAGAATACCAGCGTAAATAGCAGCTTAAGGGGCTACTCCATGCGAACGACCTTGAGCATTTGACCGCTTGCTACAATATTAATATATTGTAGCGAGCGGCTCGCCGGAAGAAATATGTAAGACGCCACCTATTGTACGAAAGTAGTATTATTTTTTCAACATCAATAAACTATTTTATGGAAATACACATAGCGTACAAAGATAAATGTATTTTAATTTTTTTATTCTGTATATATTAGTTGCATTATATTAGAATTATGTATTTTCATATATTATCTAATTATGAAATTTTATAATTAATTATATATTAAAACTGAAGCATTGAAAATTGTGAGTTTAAAAGATACCTATTCACTATAGGTAAATAAATAGATAGCTCGGCTTTTGTACAAATATTTGGTGCAATAAAAAATAAATAAATAAATAGGATGTTTCGCATATGTGTTTTTGATTATTGTTAATTTTTACGTGTCACGTATTGAAAAGTTACCTACTAATTTTTGAACTTATGCTGGCAGATATTATCCTCACCCCAATGATTGATGAGGATGAAAATCAATTTTATTTCTACATACGTAATTATATTTATTTATACATAAGGGTAACTTTAATAAAGGTAATACAAAAATCAACAAGAAGTATAAGGGTTCAATCTTTCAATTTCAGTTGTAAAAAAACGTTACCCCCACACTAGGATTTTCTCCTGTGTCGTGGAGGCAGTTTACAAACATAAATTGCACAAAGACAAACATCCAGACCCGGAACAATTATTTGTAGGCCATACAAATACTTGTTCCATGCGGGATTCGAACCCGCGGCCCCCAGCGCAACAACTGATTGCTAAGCCACTGCGCCACCATGAAGCTAATACAAAGACTAACTTTGTATTTGCTTCATGGTCGCCGGGTTATAGCTAAAGTGACCATACGTCCCGTTTTGAACGGGACTGTCCCTTTTCTCGGTCTCCTGTCCCATTGTCCCCAAACAAAGCTCCGGGACACAAAATTGTCATGTAACTAGTTGGATGGAAGTATTCAAAGTCAACAATCTTCAACATAATTTTTTTTAATCGAATATATTTTATGTCTACCTGGTACGAATGCTCCGGTAGAAAGAGTATTTTTTTATTTTGCATAAATTGTGGACGTCTGAAAGAAACACTTACGGTTCCAGAGTTCTAAAGGCGATGTTGTTAACAAAGATAACAATAAAAAACTTGAGCAGAATTTTATTCTTATTTAAAATCATCACCAACTTTATTAAAGCAAATTTAATCCACTGACAAATGTAATTAATAATTAAAAAAAATATGTTGCATTTAATAATTACCGTCTATACCGAATATAATTTTATAGTGAACACTAATTGTATAAAGTTATAGTTTTTAGAGTATAAATAAACCCATGTCCTGTTATGAGTTGAAAAATAAATGGTCAGTTTAGTCTTTTTAGTTAAATTTAGTTTTAAAAATTTTTAGTTTATAGTAAAAAGTAGGTATATTAGTACTTTTTACCGAATTATAAGTATAGAACACCTTATGTACTCAATTATTTTTTGAAAAAGAAGAAAAAACAAGCAATAAATAATATACTATATTTTAGCAAAAAACTATAACTTAGTAATACTAATTATAACTTAGAACATAAATGAAAAACTCATAACTGACTTTTTGGCCCGACCCAGTATTCGAACCCGGGACCTCATGATCAGCAGTCGCACTACTACAACCACTAGACCAACGAGGCAGTACTATACCTGATAAGATATTGTGGTTGGGTGATAATATTGAATTAGCCTTTTATAGTGTAAATTATAATATTTGTCGAAATTTTAATTATGGATTCGAACCTTACATGCTAATGGTGCTTCATTTTTTTATTTGCATTTACTTCAAAGAAAATACACGCAAAAAGCTTCATCGCGCAGTAAAAAACACAACAAATATATGTATAACTAATACGAAAAATTATACCCAAAACAAACAAATAATACTACCTATAAATAACCTAATAAGTAATATTATTTATCGACTGATATTACGTGAGTGTATGCGGCGCTGGTCGACGCTCTATCGACACAGGCTTCGCGTCGAAGAGCTCAGGGCTCAATGACTCCAGCAAGCCCGTGAGCAGTGAATATGCCCAGATTTTAAAATAATTTCTTAATAAAATCAAATTTTGGTCTTTTGAAAAAAAATTTACTATAGAAATGTTCATTAATAAATTGCCTATCCATTGGTGTAAATCGCAAAATAAAATAATACTTACTTTACGAGGAGATGCATGTTATCAATAATAATTTCACATTTATGTGGTTTCGTTGTAAGGAGATTATATTAATATTTATTCCTTTAAAAAAAAATTGGATATAGCTTTTATGGAATCAAGATTATGTAGAAATATAATGTGTTTTTTATTTGTTGATATATCTTTTAAATAAAAAGTAGATAGCTTCTAAAAACCGCCCAAATAACGACTAGCGCGACATTTTGCTCAACCTGCGCCTTAACACTGATTCGTATGATGAGTGTACAGAATCCGAGACCCTTTTTACTGTAAAAGAGGAATTCCATCTTAGTCCTCACGGGTGACAACACATCTGCATTTTGATTCGCAAACGAGGATAAATGTAAATGTCTATGGGCCACAACACTTACCATCAGGTGGACTGTGTGCTCATTTGTCACCCTAACCTATAAAAAAAAGTTGTTGACTTTAAGGGCCCAATAAAGATAACAAGAATAAAAAAATATACACAGTTATAAAAGTTTTGAAACATTAGTTTTGTATATTTGGTTAATTCTAAAATCTTCAAATAATTCTCACCTGTGGCAAACCATTCATTCCCGGGCTCCACCGCCACAGATCTCACCCAACCCAAATGTCCAGATATAACTCGAAACAGTTTCCATGGAGCATGCCATTTGGGACGAGGTGCTGCTGGAGGTCTACGAGGTGCAACTGCAGTGGTCCCAGCAGCGGTAGGGCCTTGTGCTCCATAGGTGGTTGGGGGTGCCATTGTTCCTGGATTGTATGGCAACACTGCTCCATCTGAGCCTAGTGCAGCTGATTCTGCCATTTCTATGGAAAAAAGAAAATACATTTATATGTTAATAATAATAATAGCCTTTATTTCAGACAGTATTTCATTTACAGTATCTATCTGGATTATTCTATATCTGACACTGGATTATATATTATATATTTTTACACTCTCAACGCTTAACTATTGTACATCGACAACCCTGTCTGTATGCCACTTATTGGCAAAGGCCTCCTCCAACCTTTTCCATTCCTCTCTATCCTTAGCAGTTCTCGTCCATATGCCTCCAGCTATGGCTTTAATGCCATCCTCCCATCTTCTACATGGTCTACCTCTTTTCCTTTTCATATGACCTGTAAACCAATTCATTATCGATTTGGACCATTTCTCCTTTCCTCTAATTATATGGCCTGACCATTTCCATTTTAACTTTTTTATTATTACTGTGACATCTTTTGTTTTCGTGTGTTTCTTTATGGTTTCGATTCTTATTCTATCGGATAGTCTTTTCCCCATCATACTCCTTTCCATAGAGTTTTGGCAAGTTTCTAACTTTTTAATGTGTGATTTAGTGAGTGCCCAGGTTTGGCAGCCATAAGTGAGTATAGGTAGTATACTGGTATCAAAGAGTTTCCATTTGATAGGTATGTTAGTATCGTTATTTTTCATTGTTTCTTTTAGGCTCCAAAATTATTTCCAGGCGTTACCAATCCGTCTGTCAATTTCTTTTGAGGTTTGATTTACAGGAGAGATTATTTGGCCCAAATAGATGTATTCATTAACATATTCAATCAGGTTATTATTGATCAGAATAGGTTCTTCCTTGCCATTGGTCATAGCCTTGGTCTTTAATGTGTTCATGACCAATCCTATATTGCCACTTTCTCTAACCAGGTCATTCAGCATCGCCTGCAGTCCGCCACTCGATGACGAGAGGATTATCAAATCATCGGCAAATCTCAAATGTGACAGGTTTTCACCGTTAATGGACAGTCTAATTGACGAAAGACTTCTTCCAAAACGGCTGTGAAGAGTTTTGGCGATAGCGGATCGCCCTGACGTACGCCTCTTCCTATTATAATATCTTTACCTTCCTTCTCTAGTTTTATCTTAGCCTTGCTGTTATCGTAGATAATTTTTAGTATTCTGATGTATTTATTTTCAATACCTTGGTTTTTGACTGCATGCCAAATTTTGTCATGCTCTATTGTATCAAAAGCCTTACTGTAATCCAGAAAGCAGCAGTAAAATGTTATGTTGTATTCATTGGCTTTTTCGAATAGTTGCTTGATGACATGAATGTGGTCTAAAGTTGAGTATCCGCTCCTGAAACCCGCCTGCTCTCTTGGTTGATTTTCATCCAATGTGCTAGTTATTCTATAGAGTATAACTTTTGCGAAGATTTTATATATATTCGACAATAGACTTATAGGTCTATAATTATTAATGTTATTTTAATTTTTTTTGCCATTTCTATGGAAAAAAGAAAATACATTTATATGTTATTGTTATCTAATTAATTTGCTGATTGTGTAGAAAATTAAATACAAAAATTAATGTGAAGGGTATGACATACCACTGTTTACTTTACAATATAACAATTTTTCAAAAGTTATTTTAAAAATTATCCACATGCATTACCCATGTAGTGGTGGTGTAAGAATATCCACTACCCCATATCATCCCGTGGGCGTCGTAAGAGACGACAGAGGAAAACAAACCAGGAAATGGGCAGCAGCGTCTTCCTAATAATGACTAAGAATAAAAAACTGCAGTTGCTAACCCGCTTATCAAGCATAGCAACTATGGCAAATATGCCCTCTATGAGTCAATCTATAGGGGAAGCCTATGTTCAGCTGTGGACTTTAATAGCCTGTAACAGTACCCACATGCATTTAAGAATAGAGAAAATTAAACGCAAGTTGTGACTGTTTAACAAGTAGTTTAAGATGTAGTAAGTAAAATAATTACACTTTAAACAGGCAAATAAAGTTTAAACTTTTCTATTGTATTTGCATTTTCTAAAATAACAAATTTATTGCATATATTGTGATAATTTAGACTAAAAAAATGGAATTTTTTATGAGCCTAATGCATAGAATTATATATTCATACCAACAATTGGCCATTATTTTAATTAAAAGTATCATAAACAAAATAATATGGTATTGTGACATAGTATGTACGCTCTTGTCTGTAAAGCAAATGTCATACTTAAATATCTGGTATAGGATAGGATTACAATAGGATTGTTAGTTAGGTCATTAGCATAAGGATAGTTACCAGTATCCAGCCATATACTGAATACTAAAAATATTAGTTTTTTTTTTTTTTTTATAGTATAGGGTGACAAACGAGCACACAGTCCACCTGATGGTAAGTGGTTGCTGCGGCCCATAGACATCTACATCTATCCTCTATTACAAATCAAAATGTAGATGCGTTGTCACCCGTGAGGACTAAGATGGAATGCCTCAGTTCCAGTAAAAAGGGCCTCCGGCCACCTGCACTCACCAAGCGAAACGCAGAGGTAAACCTCTACTTCACGCTGGTTTTCTGTGAGGTCGTGGTACCACCCCGGTTCGAGCCGGCCCATCCGTGCGACAGCAAAAGCTGCCGCGTGGCTCTACCACGTCGGAAGTCAGATATTCTGGATACCAGATAGGAATTGGATATCTCAAGCATTGCAAAAAAGAACACAATCAGTGCTATTAACTACAATAATTAATGCTTTTGTATTCTTTTTTTAATCATCTATATTTTTATTTAATTATTTACAACCGAAAAAATTATATTCAAATAACACATTATGTATTGTACCTGTATCATGTGGAGTTTCTGGTCGGCTTTGTGCCTCTTGTTGCTTCACAGCCTGTGCCTTCTCAACTGCTGACATCACTTGTCCATAACTGTCACGAGCCTTAACACTCTTTAAAAGTTTCTCTCTGTGGAGGTACAAATTTGTATTAAAACTAAAAAATATATAGAACAGATTTTTTTATTAAATATAGAAGAAGATTATTTCATTATAGTGATTTTAAGTCAATTTTTTATTTACATCTGGATACCAAAAGGGTTGGGTTTGAAAGTAAGTCGCCTGAATTTGAGGATTCTGTCACTGTGGGGGATCAAGGGGGTTTATCTGAAGCAGTATTTTTAATTATTTTTTTAAAATATTGGTAAATCACTAACTAATGGAATGGTAAATGGAATGTACATTTAACTAAATTGTAACGTTTTTGACGTTGAATCTGTCAGTCATCGCAAAATACGTAAAATGAATCGCTAGGCTGGCTATTTTGTTGACAGTGACAGATATACTTTACGTCATTCCGTTGCTCCTGAGTTTACGTGAATGTGTTCCCTAACGTTTTTATCTGCTTCGTCCTGTTTTTCGACGAGTTCGCTACCCCTCTGGACATTGATTGCTTGCTATTTTTCAATGACTTGGCTAACCCTTTGAACACTGATTGGATTGCATCTCTGGACGACTTTGGCTCCCTCACTGGACACCGATAAGCAAGCTATGTCGGCAACCGACCGAGACTCGGAACCTGGGCCGTCTACAAGCTCAGGGTTGTGTGGAGCTGTGACTGCGACTGAGTCATCAGTTCTTGATCACGATTTCTTTGTGGATGACGGGCTGTTTGTTGATCGACATTTAAATTTGGAGGGAGTGGTTAAAATGTGGAATTTATCAAGACTTATCAAACTTGGGATCCATGAACAGTGTGTTGCATTCACTGAAGCAAATGGAATGGTGCACTCTCAAAAAATATGCCGCATGCATTGTACACCCATGCAACTGGCAAAATTGGCTATCAAATTTTTTGGTACTTGGATTTGCATGAAAGGCCAATGTAAGCTAAAACAAAAAATATCACAGACAGCTGGAACATTTTTTGAACATATTCATATTTCGTTGGTACACATATTTTATTGAAATTCAAATTCAAATTCAAATTCAAATTCAAATTTCATTTATTTACAAGAATGTAGTTACAAAAAAGGTGTTGTTGCAATATTAAGGCGCTAATACATTCTACCCACTATTTGGGTGTGCAAATATTTAAATGGAAATAAGTTAATTAAATTACACTACACCAACACTACACAGATTCTTCGCGTCACTATTGTTAAACGTCACTAATTCCTTCACAGATTCCGCAATGTAATAAGTTCTTGAATATCATAAAATTGTTTCTCCATTAACCATTTCGTCAGTTTCTTCTTGAATATATTTACTGGGAGATTCTTAAAGTTATCCGGTATTTTATTATATATTGTAATAGTCATAAATATCACACTATTTTTTGCTTGATTTATTCTACATGTTGGAAAGTGCAGTTTATTTTGATACCTCGTTAACATATGCGAATTTACTTCTCCTTTCTTTTTAAAGTATTCTGGGTGGTATTTAACAAATAAACATACTTCTCTTATATATATGCAGGTTAGTGTAAGGATACGTAATTTACCGAACATTGGTTTGCAACTGTCCCTTTGATGTAATCCGCACAAGGCCCGGATACATTTCTTTTGTGCTACAAATACTTTCCGCACCTCGCAAGACTGTCCCCAAAGAATTATTCCGTAAGAGAGTATCGACGATATATATGCATGGTAGGCATTTATTGCAGCATTCATAGATACAGTATCTCTTAGGCGACGTAATACGTAAACGAAACGATTTAACCTATTACAAGTATATTCAATATGACTGAATACACGCTTGTGCTCACAAATGGAGCTACGAAATGAGAATGAACGAGGATCCATACAAGGAAGACTGTTTGGGCAGAACCACAATTGTTGATTGGTTCAGCTATTGTCGGGAATCCATAGTTAATTACTATTTGGAAAAAATGGTACAGTGGAAAAATTGGAGGCCCAGGAAGAGTTGTATAGGTTGATAAGTCCAAATTTGGGAAATGGAAGTATAACAAAGGTAATTTTGATTTATCTCATTCTATTTGTTCTCTTAAACTTCTAATTACTGTAATTTAAGCAAATTATGTTTGTCATAGGACACCATATTGAGGGCCATTGGGTCCTTGGAATGATTGAGGATGGGTCTGAGGATCTGTGATTAGAGGTGTGCCCTGAGAACATATGTTCTACTGAGGTTTTGGTGCCCTTAAGTAAAAAAAACATATAGAGATAGGCACCACAATTCATACAGATTTTTGGAAAGTATATGACTGCCTAGAGGAATATGGGTACACCCAAAAAAAGTAATACCACTCGGACCTGACAATCCATTTGTGGCTCCAGACAGGACTCATACACAAAGAAGAGAGTCACAATGGAGAACTGTGAAACTTTTTTGAAATGGTGACAGCTATAGATTGTTTATAAAATTTATAAAATAAAGTAATTATAAAAGATAATATTTTGGTGTTTTATTGAGAGCAAGATCAAGCAAAGTGAGCTCAGGACTTGGGGCACCCCGACTCGGGTAGGTTAGGTTAGAAGGTGATAGACCCCGCCATCCCCTTCATGGTTATTTTTATATAAACCACTCAGAAGTAGGAGCCCCACTAAGCGGGGCTCCATTGAACGAGCTTCCGAGCTTCCCTCGACAGCGCCACCTTGAGTGACATGGCGCTACCCTCCCCCTACTCTCTCCCCCCCATAAATCAGGTTTATATTGTGAAAAACATTAACAAAACATAACTGCAAAATTAGATTTTTAAAAATCTTTATGAGATAATCATTGTATAAAAATCACCATGTTATCCCAACACATTAGTGAGCTTCCATTATAAGAAATAGGCTCTGCTCTTATATTGGCGATTAAATTAGTGGTTTTATAAAATACTTCTTGATGATAATTTTATAGTATCTCGCATTACCAGGGTCATTTTCCAATAAAGCAGAGAGTTTCGGATATGTGTCTATAGACTGCCCAGTTCGAGTTGTTGACCTTAACAGTCTAGTAAGGTTCAGGATGGGACTTTGTATAATTGTAGCATAGAACAATTTGACTTGCAGGAAGTTGATTTATGCAGGTGGCTTAGGACAGTGCTTTGTGGCATTCCTTGGGAGAGGCCTATGTCCAGTAGTGCACTTGTAAAGGGCCGTAATGATAGCGATGATGATGATAACTTTAAGTATGAATTTTATAGAAGAATTACACAAGGTCCACTAACGATAATAAAATATTTTTTTAAGTGTTTGTCAGGAACAAAGCAAAATAAGAGTTAAGTTGATACTTACGCTTTTTCATCAATTGGCGGTAATAACCCCTGATTAGCTAGAAACATATCATGAGATCTTTTCAGTGACCTGAACACTAGTGTGTGCACAGAGTGTTTAATTACTTCGTCCGTCATTTTTGTATTGCTTAGATTACTTTTGCATAGTTTAAATAATATCACTAGTATTATTTGTTAATTACGCTTATAATTCTTATAAACAACACATTTACTTAGAAATAAAAATTGAATAAAATAAACAACGCGCTTTGCGTCTCGTCTCGCTGTCAATCAAAGAGTATAATAAGTATATACAGGAAAAGAGAGCCCTCTGACGATATTTTATTGCAGACAAAATTGAACTACTAGCGTCTCCTACAAATTGAATCCGAACTAATTCACTATATATAGCTATATTATGTACATCATATTAATTTAACTATTATGTTCTTTAATTCGCATACTTACTGAAACAATTTCTACTTTTTTTTGTAATACTAATTTATACTTTTAATATTAAAAGTAGGTAAATAGTTTCAATAAGTACACTTGTATTTGTGAGATAATAATAATATATAAAAAGGGTATTTGCAATGTTACAGGAATGACAATTTAATATGACAATTATCTCATTTTTAATTTTAATTTTTTATTATAAAATGCTGGTTGCCAGTATCATAATTGTCATATTTATCGGTTGATTCGATAATTATTACGTGTTTTTATGTTAAAATGATAATTTTTTATTAATAAAATCACCAATAATTTTTTGGTGCACTTATTTTTATTTTGTAAGTAAATTTCATTTTATTTTTCCAAAGTAGCGACATCTGTGAAGCCATAAGACCAACTATAAACAAATTATTTTTGGAAACAAATTATGGATGGCGCCACCATCCATTAAAGTTTTGTGGTTCAAGGCAACTGTCCTACGCCTGGCTGTCAATGTCAAGTGCTGTCAAGTGTCAAAGCAGTCAAAGTCAAAAGTGTTATATATTTTTTTGGAGTTTATGGCCTGGTATCTAGACCTTTAGGCCAAGTCTTGTAACTTTAACTACGTTAACTACTAATGCAATCGCTATTCATTGCGTAAAGTGTTAACGCCAGCAGAAATGTACAGTTGGATCATACATACTTGGCCAAAATGTGAAGAGATGATTATTATATTTGATATTGTAAGTTAGGTGACGTGTTAGGTGATCTTAACTAAGTAACAAGGTGATAAACAATTTGTAACTTAACCTAATTAATGATTGTTATTTGTAAGATGAAAAATGGTTACAGTATCTAATTTATTATTAAACAATTATTTTTATAATTAGATATTAAACCGTCTTTGCGGTATGGAAGAACACACTTTGTTTTGTTTTTCAATTTCACACGACACATCACTTATATTGCCCATATGTTGACGGTCAACATCACAATTTCGCACACTAGCACTCACTGTGAAATATTAGGCTTACAGTTAGCCTTTCTTTGATTTCCCGCACTTACTGCACTAGCACTACTCGCCGACTGCAGCTCCAAGTTTGGGGAAATGAGTGTACGCTGCCGCCGTCGCCGCCATCGCCATCTCCACACGAACACCGCCGCCGAGACTGCTGCCGCTTCGATTAACACGTAGTTTATTGTACAGTGATGGATGTCGTGCGACGATAATGTTGTTAATTGCACATCATTCTTTTTCAAGTCTTTTATTTGACTGTCTAAGTTATGTAAGGAACTGTTTAAATCTGATAAGTTGGTGTCATTTTCGTCAAAAGGTTCTAAAGGTATGTTTATTTTGATGATGTTATCCAATGGGTCAATTTTTTTTTGGATAATTAAGTCCTTCTTCATCTCAATTTGTTGGGTGTAAATTTGGTGGGAGAACAATGTAAAATCATGACCTTTTAGCAAACATCCTTTATCGAGAGACTCACTCCTGCTTTAGTATATATATATAATGTATTATATATATACTAAAATTTAGTATATATGTTTTAGTATATACATATATGTATGCATGTGTGTATGAATACATAAGTGTTGTACATATGTGTAGGTATTTATTATGTATATTTGCTCAATTGCGACTTCCTGTAGCCTCAATAGCTTGATAGATTTTAAAGAGAGAGAGTGTTATAGATTACTTTTATGGTGACATTAATTCTAATGCGACATTTGTAAATCATAATATTGAGGTAGAGAAATAAGAAGAAGCTAAGAGCGCATTGAATGTAACTAATTTTTGCGGACTTTATCTCTTTTCATTAATTTATTTTTATATTTTTACGTCTTGACCATATTACTTGAAACATCAAGAATATACACGCGGCTAGGAAGGCGCCAATTTACGCCTGCTACTTGGATTTATCGAGCTCTTTTGATCTAGTTTCGTATAACATAATGTGGAAAAAATTACAAAGTGAAACCGACTTGCCACCGAACATCATATCGGCTTTAGGTATAGGTACAACAATCAAATGAACAGCGTGAAATGAGCGGGCTCGGATGTATACGGCCTGGATTGTAGTGTACTAAAGTCGGTTGTCATGTAGACGGTGTTTGTGTAAATAACATCAGCTATGCTAACGATATGGTTCTGTTGAGTCCATCTATCGGAGCCTTACGAAGATTATTACATATATGTGAGTCGTATGCTGTGGTTCATGGACTTAAATATAACGCTTCTAAGAGTGAGCTAATGGTTTTTAAAGCGAGTAAAAATGATATAAAAATATGCCCCAAGTAACATTATGTGGAACACCGTTAAAGCTCGTTAATCGGTTTAAATATTTCTGTCTTTGGGTTACGCGTACGTTAAATGATAATATTGATATAGATAGGGAACGAATGGCACTGTCTGTGTGCGGCAATATGTTGTCTCGCAGATTTGCACGCTGTAGTACGCAAGTTACTGACGCTTTTTAAGGCGTATTGTCAGTCGTTCTACACGTGTGGTCTATGGGTTAACTACACGCAGCGAGCGTACAGTAAATCTCTGCGCGTTCAATACAACAATGCGTGGTGTTGTTTGGGTTGCCGCGTTTTTGCAGTGCATTGACTATGTTTGCCAAGGCACAAACTGATTACTTCTATAGTATCAATATCATCCGCAAGAGATACACCTTGCTGTTAAGACGTGTGCGCACAACTTCGATCAGCATTCTGGGTGCATTGGCAAATAGGCGGGATTCTCCACTGCTACGGCACTGGATTTGTCTGCATGCATCGGGCTCTCAGCCAAGCGCAAGATTAAATTAAAATAAATTAAATGAATATAATATGTCATTAATAATTCTAACACTAGGATAAGTTCTAATTGTTTACTAACACCTATGGATGAAGAATCCGAAATAAATGTTTTTGATTTGTTTTGATTTGATATAAAAATAAATAAATGAAACGCAAAAACGTGTTAATCAATAAGCATTCTGTGGAACGTCTCATTTTGTAAGTTAATAATATTTAGGTTTATGCAGTCGGGACTTTGTATAATAACAATTAATTTCTTATAATAATACGCCGTTTAAAAGCTTTGCCTTAATTTACGAGATTATGACTAGATTTTGTTATTAGATTGGCGATAGCACTTAAAATATTCATTTGACTCCCATAGCTACTTAAAAAAGCCTAAATTCAGAACCGGTATTAATATTTGCACAAGGTACAAAGTGTAACACTTGTAAATCATCATTAATAAAAATGATGCACAGTGTCGGATTAACCACGTAGCAAGAGTAGCAATTGCTACGGGCCCCGCGCAAAAGTGGGCCCCGCGTATCCAAACCTCCCCATCACTGCCGAAGCGTAATTTTTTCAGTGAAACATAATAAGACGTGGTATATTGAATTTACTTTATGTCACAAAAACGTGAAACGTTACACCTTTCTTGACTAAGACAATCAGTACCTAAACGATTGTTTCATTGGCGAAAATAAAACACAAAATTTCATTCGGTAAAGAGACAAGTTTCAACGCCCACCACGACGAATGGCTAGGTACTCGTACTACTTACTAATCATGCGGGAAGATCTGCTTACGACTTTGCCTTGACATATGGTCTGACACAACTGGTCACTTCGCCCACGCGGATACAAGATGTGGAGGATTGTCCGGACGGATATCGGGTCTTCGTCGATGCCCCTCTTGGCTCTTCGGATCACTGCCTGATCTGGAGTACACCGCCCATCACTTGCTCATTGCAGGCACGATCTGTACGCTGCCGCCGTCTGATGTTTAGCTCAGCAGATTGGGATTCGATGCGGGCTTTTTTTGCATCCTACCCATGAGGCCGGATTTGCTTCTCGTTGGATGATCCAATAAAAATCGTTGTTGAATCTGTCGCCAATGTGGTGATTGAGGAGATAGATTTTTCATCCCGTTATCTGTAGTGCCTATCGGTAGCAGTTCCCAGTCTTGGTTTGGTAACTCCTGCAAAATTTGCGTCGCGGAAAAAGCAAAAGCAGAGTGTTACAAGAACACAGGGACGCCGATATTTCAGCCCAAGCTGAAGTATCGGCGTCCCGGGATGCAAACACTAGTGCACTCAAAAATAAGTACTAATCTGCCTCTAGATCCTTCAAAATAGTTATCACTAAGGCAAAGTCGGAGCACATTGGGAGAATTGGCGAGAATTTAGTTCGCCTTCCTTCGGGAACTCGTGCGTTCTGATCCCGGAATTTTTGTAAGCTATCATTACCATCTTTGAGAGGGAGGATGACTCGTTGGCCCACGCCGCAAAAAAGAAGAAAGCGGATCTTTTAGGTTCTCTTTTTGCGTCCAACTCGACTCTCGTCGACGGGGAGAACATAGCAATAACATACGTGTGAGTGTCTGGATATCAACAAGTCGAGTGGGCCTGATAGAATCCCCCAAATTGAGCTAAAGACATGTGCTCAAGAGTTGGCACTGATTTTTACACATCTTTTTCCGTTCTCTTACTCTTTAGGCGTTGTTCCAGGCTCATAGAAGACAGCCTTAGTGCACCGGATCACTAAAAAAGATGATTGCTCGAACCCGTCCAACTACAAGCCTCTGGTTATATTCCATAAAATAATTCCGTTACGTCCTTATTCTCCAAAATAATGGAATCCATTATTAACTGTCAGAGCAGAGATGCATCTGCATGAGCTGGCATCATGCAAGATCAT